TTTGCATGAAGACAATGGATTAGATGACTTCCTAAATTCTCTTCCAGTCTAAACCGTACAAGTAAAGTATTTATTTTTGTTGCCTCAGGTTTAGTTAAGCATGATTTGCAGATTGTTCCTATGGTTACCTAGAAAAGTGATGTGTTTTTACAAATTTTGACACTTACTAATGACAGGTGCGTTGTGCACAGTCACCCCAATATTTAAATGATTCCAAAGGAAGTGAGAATGTAAAGGATGTGAACATTGAAAAGGTGGTAGAATTAATGAACTGGTGGCATCAATTAACTACCTTGCCCTCATATAAATATTTATGAATCATATGAGCGCCTAAGCATTTATTTACTTAATCAAAAGTTAAAAGCTTTAGGAAGTGAGAACAAGATCTGCCATGAGAATTCTGAGAAACCTTAAAATAATTACTACTACAATAATGGAGAGGACAAATACACTGCTACCATGAAACTAAATCCCCCAGTGATGGAGACAGCTCGGAAAGCTGTTTCAACAAAGAGGTACCAGATGTGAAAAATCAACAAGCTATAAACAACTCAAATAGAACAATTGAAATGGAAAATGTGAATTAAAATTGTGAGAGCTGTAATTCAAAGCAGGGAGAGTAAAAGTTAAATGTGCTAAATAAATTACTGTAAATGTTACCATAATGGAAATATTTGACATGGTCAGAGACACTAATTCTCAAATTGCTTGTAAGAGTTACACAGGAAGCAGAAAAAAAGAAAAGAAAAACCACAAAAAGTAAAAACACAAACAAAAATTAGAGAACATGTATAAGAACACAGCTCACAAAGGACAGTCTGCTCAATAGGGCCAGTTTGACTCACCAATGTAGCAGACGGTTTAAAATTGGCAAGATTTTTGATGTGAATAAACTTCTTATTCTGTTTGATACAAATATGGACTATGAATTCAAGATAAGATATTATTTTATATATTATCTTATATATTGATCATTAGGTCATCACAGAGACATATTTTTGGCAAATTGTGCTTATTTTGAATCATATTTTAGTGACATACACTTTTACACATATTAAATCAGTTCTCAACCTTCCTAATGCCACGACCCACAGGTTGAGAACTGCTGTATTAAATATTT